CATAAATTAATGCTACTCTTAATTCTGACAACGCGCTCTTAAGCCTTCACCGGGTGTATGCAAAGGATTGAAAAGTGAGAACACCTGCCAGGACATTTTCGTCTCGAATTAATAATACGTCTTCTAGTTTGAGGTACAGTAGGTTGTATATCTGATGCAATATGAAGATAAACATTTAAGTGGGGATTTGACATACCGTTGAGGTCGTTTATTTTGTTCATGGATTTGATCTGAGTTGCAAAATGCTGATTACTCGAAATGCGTTCCGTTCGGATTAGTAGGCTGGCTGAAAACAGGAACGGAATTGGGCCAAATAAAACGTTTGTTGGTTTCCAAGGAATTTCCTACGCCAGTAGACACTGCGGAAAAATTCTTATTTGTGCCTGTTGTACTATTGGCAGGAGGAGATAAATAAATAATCGGTAAGCCAACGAAGCATCCAGTGCAAAATGCCTGTGAACGAAGGAAAAATATCATCAAGCTTTAGTCCCGATATGAACGGGACTGTTTACGGTTATCCCACTTATTTATACTGGCCGGCATCAGCAGTGGCTTCATCTGTTTGTCGTTTATCATGACGTACCCAGGGGGAATTTATCTTAACCCTTAAGCAGACATCAGCTCTCGTAAATACTGGCTTATGTAACTGTTACATAAAAGTGTTTAACAAAATAAGGACGTAACATTAAACTGTTATAAAGAAGAAAAAGTGGAAGCATTATGTTTTGGGCTTAGTTTGAAGATTAATGTAAGAGTCTGTCTTTTGTAGTGACAGCGCCATCACAATAATCGAAATGAGAAATAAATTAGCTGATCAATTTACGTTTTAGGTCGGGGGTTGGTGTTTTGGTCTACGTAACCACGGGTGTTGCCGATAAGTCTGCTGACCGTGTTCTTGACAACGCCCAGGTCGTGATTAGTCTTGTTTTCAGCCTACGCAACTATCTACCTGACTGAGACCGTTTTTGAAGGTGGAGGTAGCGATTTGGTTTAACTGGTCCATCAGCCGCTAAACTTCTGCGTGATGAAGGCTGAAACCATGTAAGTAAATGATGAGCCTTTTTCAAAGTAGCCGCAAGTCCAACAGCTGCAAAATGTCAGATAACACACACAAAGTCAGTTGCTGTTCATCAAACGGACGTCTTTTCAGGCCTGAATATAGCTTATTAATTAGTAGCTTGCACAGTCTTCTTTGTTTTTCGAGGACGGTTGTACCTCAGTCTTTTTTATTGCTAAGTATAAAAGGTAACATTGTGCTTTAATGCTTACATGCTTACCAAAACCTGCTAAATAAGATACTTTTTAAAAGCGTTTTCGTAAATAACGAGTATTTAAACATTCTTTCTTATATAGCTGTCTTTTTGGGTCATGGTTCTAGAATCGCCCAACCATGGACAAGAAGAATGAACGTCCACAACAACAGTCACGAACCAACGTGCCCGATGTTAAGTAAAAAGCTTTTTTATAAAAATTTAGGCCTTGAGAAAGTGCTTTAATTAGATATTTCGGCGTCGAGTATCTGCGTTTTGCGTTTTTTGAAGGTAAAGTCAAGATCAACATGAGACATTCTGGTCAGTTTTTTGACTTCCCTAAAAATGAAGTAATCTCTAGCATCATATCACAATCGGTATCACAGGATTATGCACCGCTAGCTTGCCGAGTGTTAGGCAGCAGTTTACATATTTGACGCTGTCTGCGCGACCTACTTGAGTCATCAAAAAGCAGGGGAAGCTAGCGACTTCAGTTTAATAAATATTTCATCCTTGGCTTACTTAAATGCAAAGCAAAACCCAAATCACTTGATATTTGGGATGCCTTGGACAACTTTAAAGCTCCTTTTGAGTTCTTCTCCTTTCAACTGTCAACTGATACCAAGCCACGCAGTTACTATGCGGATTTGTATTTTTATAAGGATTTTATTGGTTACATAGGCTGAGTTTTTGTGATGTTGGTAGAAGGAGGCGGTAATAGGAATAGCCCAGTCAAGTAAGGTAATTTGACTTGTGCATGATTACTGAAAATATAAATAGTCCTATGGCTTAAATTTAAAAGCCACCCTAAAAAGAACTTAAGCTGTTGCCTTAACCTCAGTTCTGATCTTAAATCCAACCCCAAGCTAAATCCGACTCTTGATCTTAAACATAATCACTTTTTTTGTCGGAATTTAGCGCAAAGTCACCTCTGTTGTGTCGCTTCCTGTTCTCATGCCCTGTCCATGCGGCCAGGAACATTTTGAATCCCTGACAACTATAGATTGCGAACGAACTTTTGGAAAGCATATTTTGAGTTGCTAGCCACGTCCGCCTAGCTTTTTTTAGAAAACACATTGTTCAATCGCAAGAGTATTTCAAAGACATGACAACGTACATTGACCTTACACTGAACTCCATGTTGCATCTATAGAAAACTTAATTTTGCATTCCAAGCGTTTACTTCTCCCTTTCTCGGAAATGGCCATATTAAAACTACATGTTTAAGAAGTACTGAATAAACCAGTGTAAGCTGGTTTTACGAACTTCTCTGCTATGGGAAAATGAAATTACAGTAAACAATCAAAAAATAAATGGAAAAGGTTTTGAAACAAAGATATCTACGCGACTAAGCACCAGCTACATATTCCATTCGGAAAATATATTTGCAAGCCTTAGTTTTCGATGATCATTACATGGCATTACCGACTAAAGGGAAGGGAAAAAGTCTGCAAAGTCCGACTGCGGTGCCTTGCCATTTGTAGCATGCTGTAATTTTAGTAAAACTGTAGTATGAGGATTAAAGCCTGCCAGCAGAGTTGTTTTGATGTAAAAATATTGTATGCTTCCGTTTGTTTGAGAATTGGATCTCAAGTAGTCGCCAATGGTTTTCTTCAAAAAATTGAGGCGCTAACGAATACGTGAGAAAAAATTTCTCTCAAACTCCATTCGTTAATTTTGTGATACCGTTCTATAAGGTTATGGTTCTTACTAATGAAATAATTTCCCAAGTTATTGACAAAAACGGTCCCTTAAAACTAACCTTTTCACAATTTATTTTTCGAAAAAACTAGATGGTAAAATGAGCAAACGCACCATGCATAAAGGAGGATAAACCCTGTGGCACTATATTTTTTAAAACATTTTGATGTTTTAATCTTGTAATTGAGAAGTAATTTTTGAGAATGGCCTAATATTCTTGGTGGATTGTGTTGTGAGCCAAAAGCGTTGATGAAAATAAGGCTTCCTCAGCTTGATAATACTTCCGCCATAGGTACTACCGAAATGTTATCTGTGGTAAAATTTAGCAATGGAAGAAAATCAGTTAGCTATGGGAAATGAAGATACAGCTCTTTGTCATATGTGCTTCTTAAGTTCAACATTTATTTATCAGTATAAAATAATTTAATTTGCTAAATGGCGTGTACTAAATCATGAAAGAGCTTGTACAATATGCAAGTGAAGCGAAATATGGGGAGTCTACATGAGTGAAATGTAAAAGTCCTTGAAAACGTGAAAAAAAAAATAAAAATACATCCCAAAAATCTATTTATAGTTATCCCACATACAAAACAAAGTTTACAAAAATACATTTTTAAGCGAAATGGAAATAGAACTTCATCTGTACCGATGGCGTCAGTTTTAATGAGATAATCCAATAAACTTTTAAATGATCACAGTTCTCTTTCCCAGCCCGTATACCATATTCCTGAAACAGTAGCCAATATAAAAAAACGAACGTTCACAAAAAGTGAGTATCAGCGTTTTAGAAGTTGAATACAAGATTTCATAAAACATCCTAATCTTCTAAAAGTTAAGGGCGGCCAACATACGATTTATAAACCTCGCCACCACAGAGTTATCATAATATAATTAACTCTCTCATCGCAAGTCTTCAGGGAATTAAATCTTTTCCCAGTGCAAAATGGTCAGGAATTTAGCATATTTTTTAAATAACTTCAATGTTGATCTATTAATGTTCTGTCGGACGACTCAAGTGTAAGTTTAAAAAAGTATAACCTTCTCAAAGTGTCGCATAGTTTTCCGAGAACAGTGCAAAAATGCTATTGTTTAAAAAAACGAAGGCTTAATATCGAACACGAATTTACAGCAGACGTGGGAGAAAATACATAGCTTATAGAGAAGTAGCGGCTCATTTAAACTCTTGAGGTTTCACTTCAAGAAGTCTCCTATCCACCATCGAAGTAAAAAAGAGGCCGACATCGACTGCAACTGCTCCCGTCAATAGTCAATGGTGAGGAATAAAAAGACAAAAAATTGTGTTTGACGCTCATTGTTAAGAATCGTTTTCTGCTACAGTTTTGCAAGGCTACCCAGCCATAGGAATCGGATTTTCAAGTTTGTTATGCCAATTCTGTAAAGAGTCATTGTGTTATGTGTACAAATTAATATACAAAGGTAAGCATATTGCCAGCTGGTTCAAAATTATCTTTCAAATTTGACTGGATAAGTAAACTAACTTTAAAATTAGAAAAAGCCTGGAATTATGTGAGTTCTTTTTGGTAGATCGTCAATTAAATCTCATGGTATACCAGCGCAACTTAGAATATTATTGAATTCATTGTTTTCCGGACCGAACAGTTATGCAGTTCGCGTACTTTTTAAGCGGAAATATTTCATTAAAACAGTACATGTAATGGTTATAGGCCACAGGATACATTTAATCATTCGGTTCCGTCGACACCTCGTACACTTCTGCGGGTATCACAACCTTGCTCTGAAAACAGCAAAATATGTAGCTTCTATTTTTAACAATATGCCAGAGAATCAGAAATGGTAGTTCAGTGCTTTTGTTGCAGTTCTTAGACCACAGAGGTCTTACATACCTTATTCAGGCCAGACCAATCAGCGCGGTATTGATGGCCAAACCGAGTAAGACTGTCAGCCTCGTGGTTTGGGCGCGTGAACCAATGGCCAGGTCAGCCATTACCATGCGCACAAAATAAGGGCGGCTTTCACTAGACAGGCAGACATCACCACGTGTTAACAAGACACCCTGGCATTCAAATCATGTCCCATCTACTTGGTGAAATATATAATGAACCAGTCATGCAATACGGGGATTCAACTGATCTAGAGTCCATCTTCGAGACGGTGAACGCCTACCGACCACTCGTCCTTGACCCTGTTGTCCACAACAAAGTTGACGTCGAGGACGGGCACGGCTGGGTACACTTAACAGAGCTCAGGACCATTCGTGTGAATCGAGTACCACGGAAGTCGTGCAGAATGAGAGCGGTGTGTCCGTGTTTGGTTTGTTTCCTCACTCCTCTCATTGTTCTTCTGCTTCTCTGTCTGGTCCTCATAAAGGCCCCTGTTGTGGCCCAGCCAGACACGATTAAAATGACAGCAAACAAACACCCGCAACACACACTACAGGATACTACCTCGAATGCTTCCCTCAATCCTCAATTTGATTTGCCCGAAGTACAATCCCCGGAAGTCCACGAACCTCTTTCTCCATTACCACAACCAGATGGTAGCCTGACTGAGAGTTCTACCGGCTCACAACACCCCATGATCACAGCACAACTCCCTACAGCTTCACTGCTACCTTCTCCTTCGCATTTAGCCGAAAACGTTAGTTTGGAGAAACCGCACCAAGAGTCTAAAAGCACATGCAGTTCCGATGCAGATGCGGCTGTTGTTAAGGACAACCAGAGAGTCTTTGTGAGATCACTGAAACCCCTTGAAGAAATTGAGGTCGCCATTAACGAAATTACCGAGTCGTTTATTTCAACTCTGAAACATGATGAAGATTGGCTTGGCTGGTTGTTAAAGCGAATTCGCAAGGAACAGAAGCTACGTGCAGGAAAACGGTGTTTTACGGATATGTGCCTTTACCGGATTCCCTGTTATCTTTCTCAGAAGTTTCAAAGTGAATTTGCTTTTTCAAAAGTAGATTATGCCGACACTCGATTACTTAGTGCCAGAATTCGGAAAAGACGAAGTATAGAGATGATAGAAGGAGCTGGCGACGGGGAGGAGGCAGTACAAGAGGCGTCTGTTTTGTCGCCTCTATTGACGGATCTTCTACCTAAAAAAGCAGCCACTGATTCTAAACTTGCAGAATTGGTGTCGGCAGAAGTGCAGGTTCCATCCAATGAGGTGACATATGTTCAAAATGAATCAGTGGTGACTGAAGTTGTTACAACTGTAATGCCATCTGCCGAGGAAGAGGATTCAAGCTCGATGCCAGAGAAGAACAACAATGGTGATGATGGTTTTAATGAGGAAGTGGATGCAGGCTCGTCTGGGGATCTGGATTCAGCCTACAGTGATAATAGCTTTGGATCGCCACTAGTCAACTGTACAGGTGTCTATGCAGAGTACTGTTACAATTCCATCAGCTGCATGTTTGTAAAGGTGTTAGAAGCAGCCGTGTGTTAGTAAGTTCGTAGAAAAATACTTTTTTATCGATAAAGCACTTCCTATTCATTTTCGTGACTAAATAGGAAAAAATAGTAGTAACATTCCTTGGGGATTATATTACCTTTGTACAATAAGATGTTACATGTGTTTTCGTCCCCATAGGAAGTGTTTTACCCCAGTTTTTGGTTTGATTTTTAAGTGAACTGCCGCACATAGGATCCGATAAGTTTAACAAGTTGCTGGCGACCTATCTCATTCAATGTTAATTAAAATTCAGAAGTGTTTTTCGATTCGACAAATCGTTACTGAAGTGTAGCTTTAACACCTACTAACATCTTATATAGTCCCAGGATATTTCATAAAGGTGAAGACGCCGACTTTTGAATAAACTTATTTCCAGCTTATATTCTAGCAACAGAAATACTCCGTAACATGAGTACTTCAGTAGAATGAGTGTTCTTCGTTACTTTTTGATACCCTTCAACATTAAAATATATTTCCTAGAAGCTATGTACAGACATCTTCTTTATTTATTTCCTTCATTAAATTACTTACTCATTAAAAACTATAATACTAGCAAAGTAAGCTTTCGGTTTAATATAACATTTCCCATTGCAGAATAATTGGGTATCCAACCTGTCGTTAAATTTTCACATAGAGGTTTCAAACTACGTGTTATGTACAATCTGTGTAAGAAAAACCGAACACTGCTCTACGCAGTGACAGTAGTTTATGCAGTGCACCTAATCTATCACTAGTCCCAGCATTTTGTGCTATGAACACGATGGTTGTAGGGTTTTTTGTGCGGCGCATTAGGATAGGCAGTGGAATATACATTAATAACTGCTATATGTATTTGTACTTTATTGTTTTTAGAAATTTTGTTGATTTATATTTGTAGGGTTGCCTAATCTGTATTATCGTTTAACGTATTGCGGATAAAACCGATTATCAAATTGCAGGTTTCTTAAATTTTTCAAAAATAGAAATAGTGGTTAGAAGGCCGTTTACTTCAACTTATATGCTGTCCAACTTACCGTTCTGGAGTTAGATTAGTACAGTCCGCGGCGCGAATCGCCTCGCACGGAACAACTTACTCCCAGCGACCGCGGGAAACAATTTTGACTACATTTTTTCACTTTATACTTATTTCTAAAAATTTCCTTCCCTGATTATGCTACTTCCCCACCCCCAAAAAACACTAAAGTCACCGTTTCCATAGGACAAAATGCAGAGACTAGGGGTATATTAGGTGCACTACAGAAAATACTCTTGCGGAAAATTCGCACTGCCTTAGCAACCCGTTACATGGAATTTTGTTTAGGTAGACGGCAAAAAGTAAGCCCATTCCAATTCCGGCATGCTGACGTGAATATTTTAAAATTAGGCTGCAGGATAATAGGCATTGCCACTATACTGAAAAAAATACTTTAAATCAAAAACACACTAAGGAACTTCCGTTGACATTTCGTGAGATAGAGGATATGACGATATACGACGAAATAACACATCAATAGGAGGCTGTCTTATCTCAAATTTGCTTACTGATGTGATCCATTAAAAGAATTTAAGATTTTGCCTGCAGCCAGAATGGAACAATATAGGTTTCAGTATAATTTCACACCTTAGATTTTCTGAGGCTCGATATATGCTCAAACGTTTTGGCTATCTTGCCGTTATAAAAGAATGGCCTGACAACCACTAATCCTTCTGTAGTCTGCCTTATAATCATAAATCGGACAAGTGTCGATTTAAAAATAATCTTTCCTATACTAGCTTATCAATAAGAGCACGAAATTTTGGTCTATGGATCTTAGCAGCGTTCGATAAATTGTACTGACTGTAAAAAGCTCAGATAAATAAACGGAAGCCAGAAAATACAAATTTTTCCTCTAAGACAAACCTCTTCGTTGACACTGAAAAGTACGACTATGCAATAGTTGCGGCAAGCAACGCTCTAAAGACTTGTAGTACATGGCCGCATCGGAAGGCCTTCTGTTAAGCAACCTTTGGGTCGGGTTAGCCCTCCAGTCACTTGCAACACATACAGGTCTTCCTAATCAGTCACGAGAATTTACCAAAAAAACTATCAGGCGCAGTTTATTATTAAGCAGAAGGTGCGGGGTAGCAGTTTTGATTAATTCCGTTGACCCAATTGCGAAAAAACCAACAGCCACGAGGGATTTAGCCCAACAAATCTCATCTGAGATCCAGGCCAGAAAGTACGAGATTTGACGTAAAGGCCGAGCCACCCCACTTAAAGTCCGGTGCTTACTTTGGTGCCCAAGTTACGTGTGGCATACAGTGATGGGTTGTTTAATTTTGTTATTCATCGCGTCTGAAAACCCCTCCGGCATTCTTGCTATTGTCTGGTTGTCCAGGAGAGAGAGAGAGTAGAGAGTGTAGTGGATAAGAAGTACACCATCTTGAGTATAGACTAATTCGGCCCCCAATTCACCGGTGTTGCTCCCTCCTTCTGTGATGAACGTCGTCGGTTGCACGGGCCAAATGTTCGGTCCTTGAGCCTTGTTCTTTTGCATACCAATCATCATAACATAACCTGATATCATACTCCTTTGCAGATTGACAAGCACTTTTATACGGACGAGAATTGTAAGATACAATGAAAAATGCACATTGTAATCAGGCAACTAAGGCTATCTGAAATTGGACTGTTTTTTACAAAGCAAGAATAATATCTAAAAAAGATCAGAGAAAAAGGGGAAGTTTAGATTACCGGAACCTATTTCGTTCGCAGATTGCTTGCTCTACGCATTTGATTCCTCAATTGCCACAAGTCCAGCACAGATTTTGCTTATTAAATTGACAAAATCTCTCCCGTCTGCGTCGTTCATGCTCTTATTGGAAGTTATATTTGAACGCACACTGTGACTGTGAGATTGGTTTCTTGTATGAGGCAGAAAGATTTAGCGAACAAAATTCGTGTTCCAACCTTTGCAGCTCCCTTTACTAACTATCCAAATTGCAAAGTTTATGGCAATTGCAAAACGCAACCCACATGATTAGAACACGCAATATAAAGGCAATTTTTCTGGAGATAACATCAGGAGTACCCGCAGAATAGTCTATGTTGCTATCTTCATAGAATTTTTCACGCTAGATCTTCTTTCATCTCAATGCCACAGTATAGACATAAATAAACGTGCACCCCACTTCCAGTAAATATTGCACGATATGGACTCTTGATGAACACATTCTCCATTAGGTGTTACGGAAGATAAATACATTGTGAGCCTTAAACCGTCATCCGTAAAAAATTTAGGTTATAAAACAGTTTAATTATATGCTCACTGTTGATGGTTGTAGCGGAATATCTGACCTCTAAAGACTTGATAAGTCACTGCTGTACTGATTTCTCCCCACTGTGTAAATCTTATATTATATTTATAATTAAATTAAAGATGCTACAAATCACGGTCGCATCGGCATACACAACCTCACATTCTTTGTTCATGGCAGCACAACGGCTTTTTCAGTTAGAACAAGAGAATACGTATATTATGCCTATGCAAGTGACATCAGACTGTATATACGGGTCTACATGCAGTTGCGCTGGCGCCAACATTAGGCGTGTACCAAAGCAGTGGTCAGCCGGGGCTGCATGTTCTAGCCTACTTTTGCCGAACTTAGCGTCTCCCACGCTTTTCAGAAGTCAAGGCAGTGCAGAGGAGAAATTCAGAAACAAGGTAGCAATTTAGTCCTGTGATTCAGATCGCACTGCTATGATAAACGTCAATTTGGGAAATGGCCCACTTTTATCCCCCGTCTCTCTGCTTCCTCATAAATGGCCCCTCAATGCCTTATGTTGTGTGGTCGTATTCACGCGGGTTGAGAATTTGCTGTAACTTATACTTACTGAGCTGAAACTCAAGCCAACCTGCGTGGCAGGGGATTACTAATCGAGTTTATTGACATATCGGGCTCCATTCCTCTAAATGCTTTTAACTATTTACTTTAATAACACACTTTTAACTACGTTAACTACTACTTAACATATTGCGTGTTTTCCGGACTTTAAGGTCCACTTAAAAGCCGTTAACGCTCACAATAAACGACACTACGGACTACTGCAGCGCCGTGTACCACACAAAATCATCTCGAGGTCAGCGAACAGAATTAATCGATATATTGGGCATTCTGGGTTGTAAGGTGCACTGGTGTTTTTTGAAAAAGAATTGAGGGTTTTTAAGTGCACCCTGTAGTCCGCAAATACAGCCATCTTATTGATACACGCCGACTTTTACCAATTGAATGAGCGGGCACGAAATTGTATGCTTTCTGTCTCTTCGGTTGGTTTGACTTTGATTAATGGTAGGCAGTTTTAGGACAGCTGTTTATTTTACGTGTCGTTGTAGTGCTACTTCTAGACATCGTCATTCTATGCAAGCTTATAACTGCATGTAAATTCGCCTATTCTTCAAAACACTTGTGAAAAAATCTTGGAAGTTTGAAACGTGACCCGGTATGCATATCTATCCTCCGCCTAGTTGTAAACCTGGCTACACGGGCGTGCGATGCGACCTATACAACCTTCCGCAAACCCTTGACACGCTGAGTCAATTTCAGGACGGGACTGTAGACATCGACCATCTGAACCCGGGCGATTCGGCGAAGCTGTACAGTGTTCTCGAGGCCACTGCGTAAGTTAAAATTTCTCTAAATATAACTTAAATTCAACAGTCGTGTGCTGCTGATCCGAACGAACCAATATAGGGTTTACCATTTTTACTACTAGTCTACATTACAGGCAGAACTGGCCACCTACTGAGTTGTGAGGATGTGTGGCCAGAACTCTTCTCCATAATGAATCTTTTGTGTAAATAATCCAGTATAACTGGGTGGAAAGGTTTGCATTAAATATCATATATTATATGAATTTATACTGTAACCCCCATGTTCTCAACAGTATAAAGACGGATATATTTTGCAAAATGCATAAGAGTGCTGTGTGGGTATTAAATAAACAAACCGGGATTTTTTGAGTGCTGAGAATACTGAGAGCATTTACTATTTTGGGACTGAAGCAGTTGATAACATCGTTTCAATTTAAAATCAAGTTTTCTATGCACTTCAAAATCTTGAGATAAGGTCATTTCAGTTTTGTGAAAATTTTCTCATCACCTTGAGAGGTATTAAACCATTTGGATAAAATATATCTTATGTCCTTACCACTGAAGGTAATACATCTAAATCAGTTGTGCAAAACCCCGAGCACACCTAACGCTCTAACCATTTAAGCTACGAGACCTTGCGAGAGCCTTGAGTTTAATCAAATTAAATTCAAGTTCTCTTTCCAGCTCTTTAATCGACTGGAGAATATGAATTGTTTCAGTCTGCAAAATCGCAAATTACTCAAGTCAGTCTGGCAGACAGCTAGAGATTGTGGATTTCTTGATTAAAAAATTCCGCTTGGGCAGTCAGCTTGCTGGATTAGATTCGGTGGAATACATACTTTGCCGTAGAATGGATGGGTAACTTGATGCAAATGAGATTAAAATCACGGCTTCTTTTGTGGCCGCACAGTTACGGTGATAATAGCAAGCGCCGTGCTCAATACTTACCCCCTCTATTGCTGTTTTTTTCGGATTCCAACCAAGACCGTGTTTAAAATTAGGTCAGATAAGTTTATTTAAGTCTAATAAAACAATGATTAGTTTAATTATGCCATTTACTCTGCCTCACATTACTTTCTTTTCAGACGATACACTTACAATGCTATCACCGAGGAGGAGCAATCAACCTTTAGAAAGCCACCGTATTTTATAGACGATAACTGAAGAAAGGGAATCAACAATCTCAGTTCACCCTTGTCAGTCTCGTTGGTCAGGGTCACACGGCTGGACGACCGCAAAGCAAAAGATACGACAGGACTGGCCTGTCACATATGCAATTTCTTCAAATTTTCCAGTCAATGCACTTTCTAGCTTGTATATAAACTCCCCAAATTTTACTACTCTTTACTTGTATGAAACTAGATCTCATGCTTATATCAAAATTATCAGAGTACAGAGGACTATTCAAGAAGAATTCCTAATAAACGATCATTTTTAAAAGCTTTTGTAAACTCTGTACCACCAATGCATTTTAATTAATATTTTTGCTGGGTCGCTGCTTGATTACTGCACGGGTTGTCAGCTTGAGCCTTGCAAGTCTAAACTAAAACTAACTTCATGTTAACAGGTGCAACGTAATTACAGTAGTTAGGATAGGATTAAACCGAACAATTTATTTATAGAAAGATAAAACAAATAACCGAATTAAGGATGGGCTCAATTTGACAAAGCAGTGCACGTAAGATTTTGACCATCTCAATAATCTCACATGAGCTCACGTTTACTTAGGACAGCAGGATTTTTGACCGATCATCAAAGATCTTTCTCTCAACATAAAGACCCCGTTGGTCAAACGAACTTGTTAAATTACTTAAAATCGACGGTTTAATTCGGCATTTATGCAAGTTTAAAGCCTACCTTAATAAAGTACTATTTTGGAAAATTGACTACAAGAATGAGATGATTAACCTTAGCCACACTCTGCTGAAGTGACAAGCTCTGAAGTTGATGACTTCAAGTCAACGCAGTTTGATATAACGAGCCTCCTTTTCACAAAAACCGTTTATGGGGTTGGACCTCCAACCCTTTGTTGGGACCTTCAATGAATCAGTATTCTGCTCCTAATGCAGACGACACAATAAAAAATCTAACAAACAAGTTATAGCTGGTGTTAAGTGAACAATTTATATTTTATCAGTTCAGATTCCTATCGAATCGACGTTAAATGATCCTAACCGCTGCAATATATACTGAATCTTCCTAAAATTATTAAACCTTAGTTATAAAATCTTAAAATGCTATGCCGTGTACATTTTCAGAAAATAAAATGATTCTGGATTTAAGAACTTTCGTTATGCCATTGTATATATAGTATGAGCGAACGTTTACAATTCACGTCACAACTGACTAAATAAAAGGGCTCAGAACCGACTTGATATAAGGTGTGCGAACAAAGTTATGCAGTTATGCACAAACCATTTACCTATTAATTACACTCGTTTCCTTTTTTCGATCTTTCATTCGCAGTGCCGCGCATAACCGTATCCTAATTAAAGTGCCGAAATTACTCAATAAATGATATTTAGTTCTACACAAGTAAACTAACTAAGGAGGCCATAACTTCGTTGGATTTTTTTGTGCTGTCGCATAGTTTAATTATTTCAGATATTTCTTCAAAACAACTGCCAGCAGTCCTTAGTTGAATAAAAAATGCGGCAGCGAATGAGGTCAAAATCGAGGTTTGGCCGTGGACTGGACATAACCGAGCTTCAGACAACAGGTATGAACATTTGCCATTTTGTCATAAAAGGAATGCAGACGCCAGGTGCCCCGATCTGAGCTAAATCCAGGTTATTTTGCGGAAAAAACTAAACAAGTTTGCGGACACATATGCCCGTGTTTGTGGCACACAAAAATATCACGTTTGCAAAACGCCATTTGCGATTGCGGCGGCAGCGTTTCGTAGCGGC